TTTGAAGAAATTCGATTTTTTCGCTATTTCCAAGTCTAGTTGATATTTAGGCGAAGCTGCTCTTAATCTCCAAAAAGACTGAAATATAAATATTTCACGGCACCCTAAAGCATTTTAAATACTCTTATCTCAACCATCAGAGGGCTGGGGGAACGGAGGAACAAAATGTGTGTGTTGGACATGGATGAAAAAGGCAATCTTTACCTTTACAAGGCTGCACTGCTCTGCAAGAACGAGATTATCAAGCGACTGATCAATGGAACATACCATGTAGCAGACCCGAGTACTATAGGTAAATTATTTACCTCACTTTGTCTTAAAGAGACTCATTTACTTGGAGCGTTTTTATTATTTTACAAAAGAAGCTGTAGACCGTAAAGCTTAGCTAATGATATTTTTCTTCCTCAAAAAAGACTGCGATAGCATAAAACTGTAATAAAGCCTATCGTCTTAACCATTTTTAAAAAGGCTTTTTCAGTAAGCCTATTTCGGAGAGACGTAGCATCTAAAGGAATTTTGCTTCGTTAAAAAGCAGCGTTATCCAGATTGTATTTGGAAGGGATTTTGCGTCTGAGCAATTTTCAGTAGTTTGAGAACATTGCGTGATAATAAGACTCTCCAAAAGATAACGGCAAGAACTTTAAACATGCTGTGCGATACACTCAATATTTGTTTTAAGAATATCGCTTTTCCGACCGAGGCTGAATATTCTTATTTTTCTGCCGATTTTAGGCTGAAAATATTCTTGTGAATATTCTTATATTACGGCGTATGACATTTCTGTTTTCGAGGGTATTTAGTGTCTGGATGGTATTAGAGTAAGTTTAGAGCCAGCCTGCAGGCATCACAGCATCGAACATACAGCTAGTGCTGTTTTTGTTGTCTTTTGCCTAGTTTTTCCAAGAAGAGATGATTTTATACGGTTTGGTTAAAAGCATATAATTGTGTTGTATTTCCAAATTTTCAACACAAAAAAAATTCATTCTTTTCAAAATCACAACCTCGGGTTTAATCTTAAAATATTCTTAAAATTTCGCAAAAGTCTACATCAGCAGGCAAATAATTGGAATAAATAATATTGCTATATAGCCATTCATTGGCTAGTTTATGGCCACATGACATCTAACAATGAAACTGTTTACTGCCAAATGCCATGAGCGGGCAACATTGCGAAAACTATGACGTCTAATGGGAAACAGCTCACTGTTACCCGCGAAATGTTGACCGCTGTTGCACTGGGGAACAGTGAATTTTGTTTCCCTCTCGGGAAACAAAACTCACTGCTCCCATCGGGACCAGTCATTATATTGGCCCAATACGAGAGATGTCTCGTTATTTCCCATGGCGTTTGAGATTTTTATTTCATTTTGAGAGTTGATGTTTTTTTAGGTGGGGGGAGGGGGAGGGAGGTGCTTATATTTGACATTTATACTTAGCAAAATTAATTCAGCCGGCAATTTGCGTTACAGTAAACATATCAGCCCTTTTTTAGGATAAAGAAACGACCAGAATAGAAAGGTTTTTTCATTTTCTTTTGGTTTTGTGCCTTATTACAGGGCTAAGCAAAGTCTCCTCTGCCTTGAACTGCAAGGACCTAAAACAGAAAGCACCGTCACTCGTGTCAGGAGTCTATTGGATAGACCCAGATGTTGGTTCCCATGGTAACGCGTTCCAGGCCTACTGCGACCAACAGACGGACGGTGGGGGCTGGACACTAGTTTGGAGTTATACTTTCACCGCATACACGAGCTTCTGGACTGGTGCAAATGCTGTCACGCCGCGTCCAAGCTGGACAGCCAAAAAAGCGAACACTCGAGTGTCCACAACAGTTCCTCTCACTGAGACACATTACGAGGCCATGAATTTTACTTCATGGCGAGCTATTGGCAAAGAGTTTTTTATCAAGAGCAACATCAACAACTGGATCGCATGCAAGGAAGGCACAGGCAGCTTGGTGCAACAGACGACGGGCTCAATCTCTTGTAAACTGGTTAAACAGGTTTCCAAGCAGTGCGCTGGTGTAGTACCGGAGTTTTTCTGGAGCGGGTCTGATTCCTATGGTCCAGGCTTACGCGCCACTGGAGCGTACTACTATTTCGATGGTAACAAAGGCATAAATTCGCCTACCCATGATCCATGTGGAACAAACCGACCAAATCAGTTAAAAGGTGTGGCTAATCCACACGGAAATATCTTTATTCGGTAAGCGATTTTCTGTCCATGTCTTATTTCGCTAGCGCTAAAATAACTCAAAGCTACACGGAGATACAAGGGTTAAAAGGGATAAGATATTTACATAGATCACTTTATCCAAGGCGTCTATTGCTCATGCATGCACGAAAACGTCGGGATTTTCAATAAGACTATAACAAGAACTGGAAATCATTTCAGTTTATATCAGTTTCTATTTTTCTACATTTTAAGGATTTTTGCAGGTTCATTCTTTAAAAAATGCAAATAAACGTGGTTTTATATTCACCTAAAGTCAGTCATGTCTTTTATTCTTGTGTTTCAAGTTAATAGTCACCAATTTGTTCTAAAGTGAACGTACATAGTCGACTGTCCCTGCAGCTTCAATTGTTGAGCGAAAAAAGTCCAATCAAGTGTTCAAAACTCACCTTTTAGACTGGGAACATGTAGAGCAATCCTCCCTAGGACTATGCAGACCTCCCAAGAGCATTTCACAACAATAGTTTATGCAAAATTTGGTGGGTAAACAGAGTGAATTATGGGCAATTGGAAAATAGAGACGAGAAATGAGAGCGAATAATCTTATTGCCGTTAGTACAAATCCCAACCTCGTTCCCAGGCTCTCCCGCTTTTGACTTCCTTGCCGTTGAGGAGGAAGATCCTGGTTGCGGCTGGCCACGTGACCACCCAAAATTTGGCGGTGCTAAAAAAATCTGTTGGGCGGTAGGGGTGGCAGAGTGTTTTGACTGTTGCTGTGACAAACTTTGTGGGTTCCAAATCCCACCCGCTTCATTGGGGGTTCGAAGTCGAATTTTGCTGGTGAATAATGCTATCTTATTTCTGGCGTCTCCAAAGTAAAGAAGCCTTTCGTTTATAAAGATATTTGGCAGCCGACTGAAGCACAAACGTTTCCACGGTTAGCACATGTAAAACGTCATGTGCAAAATTAACGTAAAACGAGTGGTTCAGGATCTTGAATCTTTGAATTCGGAGATAATATATTTTCTTCTTCGTACGGTATTTTGGATGTTACAGAGTATTTCTGTCACACGGCCGATTAGCCGATTATGGTGACTTGCATTTGATTTACAGCAATGCAAAATGATTTACAGTTTTGTTGACATTAAGCCCGCGCTTGTATTTCATCGGCATCAGATTCATGTAAGTCATTATACTTAGACACCGAAGTTTAAACAAGATTCATGGCATAGTCAAGAATTATATTTTGCAAATGTTAAATAAAACGTCGTTTTATACAGCGAACAATGTGTAAGCTTCAGGCAGCATGAAACAGCGAAACATGTACAGTTGTACTTTTTAGTGACTCGACCGACTGGAATTGAAATCAGAGTGAGACTTCAATAAGCTGGATATATAAACAATAGCCTCCATTTAGGTCGAAAATATGCTCGGATGTTTGTCCGCGGACATTGCCTGTTCCGAGAGGCGAGCAGTTTTCCGAGAGCGTAGCTCGAGGAAAACTGTGAGCTCTGAGGAACAGATAATGTCCGAGGACAAACATCCGAGCATATTTTCAAAGTCAAATGTAGGCTCGTGGCTATTGTGTTTATTATCCTTCAAATATATCTGCGCAACACTCGCAGTTTTGAAAATTGGGAATATATATATCTTATTAAATTAGATGTTTTGGCGTGTAGTATCATATCGCTGTTTATTATCCAACTACAGCGAATACTGTCCAAATAACAGTACAAATATACAGCGATATTGTACAGTAGAAAACCTGTTTGCAGTACAGGTCGGTGCGCGCACGCAAAACTGTCACACTCTCCCTCTTCTCTTTGATAAATTTATTGACTACAGCCGTTGGATAATAAATCTCTTATTAGATGTTTTGGTGTGTAGTATCGCTGTATATTTTTACTCGTTGTTTGTATTTTGACTCGCCCTACGAGTATCGCTGTATATTTTTACGAGTTGTGCCGTATTTTGACGAGCTCGTAGGGCGATTCAACATACAAACAACGAGTAAAAATATGCAGCGATACTACACACCAAAACACCTAATGAGAGATTTTTTATCCGATTGGTGTAGTCAATAAATTTATCAACGAAAGAGGGAGAGTGTGACAGTTTTGCGTGCGCGCGCCGACCTGTACGGCAATTAAACAGGTTTTCTACTATAAAACTATACAATATCGCTCTATATTTATACTGTTAATTGGACGGTATTTGCTGCAGTTGGATAATAATGCATAGTACTGCAGTTAGATTCTGTATATCGCATAGTACAGCAGTTATCTGGATATAATTATCATCATTATCAAAAATCACTTGAAACGGAGGCATTTTTTGCATTCTCAATGTTGTTGACTTGGCATGCTCCCATGAGCGGACATATACACCTTACAACTCTAGTGGCCGCTTACGAGAAGTGTCCGCTTACGGGAACTTCTACTGTATTTCAATATCAGGGTTCTAGACTAGCATACGATATAGTAAGTAGCAATTTAGAACGACCGGCTTACACTAATAAGCAGCGCACATAATCTCAGCTTTCAGACACACCATGAAAACGGTCTTGTAGAAAGAATAAACGCTGTCGAAGGAATAAACACAAATGCAAGCATAAGCATATATGTATAAGTAATCACAATTTTTTCTTTTCCTCAAGCATGTGTGTCATCTCCAGTTTCCAAATGAATCTCCATCTTTTCAGCCTCAGTTTTCCCTTCAGTTTTTTCGCTTCTAACTAAATGAAGGACAGCCAGTTGTTCCTCAATGTACACACGATATATACGCTGTATACAAAGCATTTTTTTGTTATGCTTTACAAGTCTATGTGCTGGACCTTTCCGAAGAACCGGAAACTTTCACAACCGCAGCGTATGCACCTCAACTGAAGGTCAACCTTTGTCAGTATCCATTTCACCGCTGTGTTCATCTTTTCAGCTCGTTTGCATCAGAGGAATGCTGTCAGGAATTCATCATTATATTATCCTGTGTCACAGCCGTCCCTCCCCGAAAGAAAGGCTACCGTTATAACAGTCTAGTTTTGTAAATGCTTCCCGTATTTCAGGAGACTGAGACGCTAATTTACAGGTTGCAACGTCTTCATGTAAAGTTTTTTGGATGAACTAAACAAACGGACCCTTGTTGATACGTTCAAGTGCAATACAATACTTATACATACCTATATCACAAATGGCACCACGAAAGCACGTAACGTGAATCGTGAGACAAAACTCCATGTCTGCCCTTTGACATCCAGGATCTTTATTTACTGCTGCCTGATTGGATAAACCTCCAAACTGGTTCACCAATAGCGGTGTCTCATTACAGTCCTAAAATGCTAACCATTCAGGAACATTCTAGCTGACTTCCGTATCAGCAAGAGAGGAAGATCTACATCTTCCTCTCTTGTTTTCAGTTCCACCCAAATTCACCATCACAATGACCTGTGTCACATCCGCCCTTCCTCGAGGGAAAGGTTACCGCTATAACAGTCTTGTTTTGCAAATACTTCCCGTATTTAAGGAGCCTGAGATGTTAATTTACAGGTTGCAACATCTTAGTGTGAAATGTTTTGGATGAACTAAGAAAACGTACCCTTGTTAGCTGCATACGTTCAAGTGCAATACAATACGTATATACTTAAATGACAAATTAATGGCTCCAGGAAAGCACGTAGCGTGAATCATGGGACAAAACTCCATGTCTGCCCTTTGACAGGATCGTTATTTGCCACCTTCTGCTTGGATAGACCTCCAAACTGGTTCATCAATAGCAGTGTCTCATTACAGTCCTAAAATGCCAACCATTCAGAAACATTCTAGCGGACTTCCTTATCAGCAAGAGAGGAAGATCTACATCTTCCTCTCTTGTTTTCAGTTCCGCCCCAACTAAGCGGGATCACAACTACAAGTTCAGTGTAGCTTTGAGTCGACCCATCTGAGTATTTGTACATTATTTGTGAGGTTCTACAGATGCAAATCTCCAAAATGCTTCACATTGGTTTAAGTGTGTTTTTCTTCTCCAGCAGTTTCTTAATAGCCAGGTAAGACAAAAATCGAGCTGCATTTATTTGCTAAATAGCGGCACTTTCCCCTGTTTAAACCTTGGGAATGGCATCTCGATCCCACATCAGGATTTGCTGACTCATAGCCGACTAAAGAAGCTTCTGGTCTTTTGGAAAACGGCTAAAATTCAACAAATATTCGCCTTTATAATTACGGGAAATCAGTGTGGGTATAGTGATTCCATCCTTCATTTTAAGTCTGTATTTGTCTTTCTCTGAGTGTCAACTTTCCCCCTCAGTTTTCAAAGGCTAAATGTTATTTTCTGAGTTGTTGCATGCACTGATTTTTGGTCCTTTAGGAGTCGTAAACTGGATAAAATCCAACCGCGTAGCTCATTTTGGAAAAGAACGCAATTTTTTTTCAGCATATGTTCCCAAATCCAGTCATAAATATCCTGATATCGGGGTTCGTCTGACACGACACGTTAAAATCATTTTATGTCCTTACTAGTATACGATATAGTTAATAGCAGTTAAGAACGGCCGGTTTACACTAAGCAGCGCAAAAAAATCTCATCTTTCAGATGTGCCATGAAAACAGTCTTGTCGAAAGAATAAATGCAAACGCAAGCATAAGCATATGGGGATCACAATTTCTTCTTTCCTCGAGCATGTGTGCCAGTTTCAGTTTTCAAACGAATCTCCGCCTTTTCAGCGTCAGTTTTCATTTCAGGTTTTCGCTTCTAACGAAAAGAAGGACTGCCAGTTGTTCCAAAAGCTTTTTCCGCAATGTATACACGATAAGCACACGGTGTACTTCCCAGCTGAAGGTCAACCCTTTTCAGTGTCCATTTCGCCGCTCTGTTTATCTTTTCAGCTCGTTTGCATTTGAGGAATACTGTAAGGAATCCATCTTTAGATTAGCCACAGCCGCCCTTCCATTCCTCGAAGGAAAGGCTACTACGATCAAAACAGCGCAGTTTTGCAAATACTTCCCGTATTTCAGGAGCCTGAGACGCTCATTTAAGGTTACAAAGACTAAGTGTGAATTTTTTTGGATGAACTAAGCAAACGTTCCTTTGTTAGCTGCATACGTTCCTTTGTTAGCTGCATACGTTCAAGTACAATACAATACTTATATATACTTATATCAGAAATTAATGCCGGGCTCCAGGAAAGCACGTAACGTGAAGAATAATAAAAACTCCATATCCGCCCTTTGACAACCAGGATCTTAATTTGCCGCCGTCTGATTGTATAAATCTCCAAACTGGTT